GTTATTGCATTTCCTGACCACCATGAAGATGGAGATATTTTCTGACGTCCCTGTGATTTATCTGTGTTTTTAGCTTTCAACTGCACCTTCATGTACTCGTCTCCCGCCTCGTGAAGTGTTAAGTGTGGAAGGAATCCTAAGATATGGATACACAGCTTGATCTGCCGGCGTTTATCCAGAATAGAATATGAAGCCTACTAGCCGTCGTTTATAGATGAGCTGCCCCAGGCAACAGCGGCAGGGCAATGCTGCCCCAGGGAACAGGAGCAAAGCTGTGCTGCCCCGGGAACTGGGGCGGTGCTGCCCCATACATGCGCAGTCACAACTATAACATAACACAGGTTAACATTCTGATGACTCATAAAGTGGTAACCTTCTATCCCGACAATGGTCGTTAATAACAGACGAGTCTATCCCTCTTGCCCTTAGAAAGTCTGTTTGGGTATTTTGTACGCTGTTATCATGTTCCCTTGTGTGTACTCACCTAACTGTAGTTGCAAGGGTCGAGACTCAGCTCTTGGCTCCGCCTCTTCACTGAGTGCTACTAGGTCCTCTCTCTCCCTGCTCCATGAGCTTTATCATACCTCACCTTAAAGCTATGTATGGTTCCTGCCTCCACTACCTCACTTGCTAGGCTATTCCACTTCCTGACTGTGTGTGTGTGTGTGTGTGTACTCACCTAATTGTACTCACCTAACTGTAGTTGCAGGGGTCGAGACTCAGCTCCTGGCCCCGCCTCTTCACTGATCGCTACTGGATCCTCTCTCTCTCTGCTTCCTGAGCTTTGTCATACCTCTTCTTAAAACTATGTATGGTTCCTGCCTCCACTACTTCACTTGCTAGGCTATTCCACTTGCTGACAGCTCTATGACTGAAGAAATACTTCCTAACGTCCCTGTGACTCGTCTGAGTCTTCAGCTTCCAGCTGTGACCCCTTGTCCCTGTGTCCCCTCTCTGGAACATCCTATCTCTGTCCACCTTGTCTATTCCCCGCAGTATCTTGTATGTCGTTATCATGTCTCCCCTGACCCTTCTGTCCTCCAGTGTCGTCAGTCCGATTTCCCTTAACCTTTCCTCGTACGACATTCCCTTGAGCTCTGGGACTAGCCTTGTTGAAAACCTTTGTACTTTCTCTAACTTCTTGACGTGCTTGACCAGGTGTGGGTTCCAGACTGGTGCTGCATACTCCAGTATGGGCCTAACATACACAGTGTACAGTGTCTTGAACGATTCCTTATTAAGGTATCGGAACGTTATTCTCAGGTTTGCCAGGCGCCCGTATGCTTCAGCGGTTATTTGGTTGATGTGTGCCTCCGGTGATGTGCTCGGTGTTATGGTCACCCCATGGTCTTTCTCCCTGAGTGAGGTCTGTAGTCTTTGTCCACCTAGCCTATACTCTGTCTGCGGTCTTCTTTGCCCCTCCCCAATCTTCATGACTTTGCATTTGGCTGGATTGAATTCGAGAAGCCAGTTACTGGACCCCATGTCCAGCCTGTCCAGGTCTCTTTGCAGTCCTGCCTCATCCTCGTCCGATTTAATTCTTATCATCAACTTCACGTCATCTGCGAACAGGGACACTTCAGAGTCTATTCCTTCCATCATGTCGTTCACATATATCAAAAATAGCACTGGTCCTAGAGCTGACCCCTGTGGGACCCCGCTCGTAACAGGCGCCCACTGTGATACCTCTTCACGTACCATGACTCGTTGTTGCCTCCCTGTCAGGTATTCCCTTATCCATTGCAGTGCCCTCCCTTTTACATGCGCCTGATCCTCCAGCTTCTGCACTAATCTCTTGTGGGGAACTGTGTCAAAGGCCTTCCTGCAGTCTAGGAAAACGCAATCTACCCACCCCTCTCTCTCGTGTCTTACTTCTGTTACCTTGTCATAAAACTCCAGGAGGTTTGTGATACAAGATTTGGCTTCCATGAACCCATGCTGGTTTTCATTTATAATCTTGTTCCTTTCCAGGTGTTTGACCACTCTCCTCCTGATAATCTTCTCCATGACTCTGCACACAATACATGTCAGAGACACAGGTCTGTAGTTTAGTGTCTCGTTTCTGTTTCCTTTCTTAAATATGGGGACTACATTAGCTGTCTTCCATTTCTCAGGTAGTTGCCCAGTTTCAAGGGATGTGTTGAAGATTGTGGTTAGAGGCACGCACAGCATCTCTGCTCCTTCTCTAAGGACCCATGGGGAGATGTTGTCCGGTCCCATCGCCTTTGAGGTGTCAAGGTCACTTAAGAGCTTCTTCACCTCCTCCTCAGTTGTTCGTATGTCATCCAACACTTGTTGGTATATTCCCTCTTGATGTTCCCTTCTGTGCTGTCTTCCCACAGCCCTTCCTGTCTCTACTGTAAAAACTTCCTTAAATCTCCTGTTCAGCTCCTCACATACCTCCTGATCATTTCTTGTGAGTTCTCCACCTTCTGTCCTTAATCTGATCACCTGGTCTTTGACTGTTGTCTTCCTCCTGATGTGGCTATACAACAGTTTCGGGTCAGTCTTGATTCTCGATGCTATGTAATTTTCATACTGTCGTTGGGCTTCCCTCCTTACCTGTGCATACTCATTCCTGGCTCTGCGACTGGTCTCCCTATTTTCGTGTGTTCTCTGCCTTCTGTACTTTTTCCATTCTCTATTGCATTTTGTTTTTGCCTCCTTACACCGTCGGGTAAACCAGGGGCTCGTTCTGGTCTTCCCATTGTTACTGTTGCCCTTGGGAATAAACCTTTCCACTGCCTCCTTGCATTTTGTTGTTACATATTTCATCATTTCATTTACTGGCTTTCCTGCCAGTTCTCTGTCCCACTGGACCTCCCGCAGGAAGTTCTTCAACCCTATGTAGTCCCCTCTTTTATAGTCAGGCTTTTCCCATTCAACTCCTGTTATTCTCTCCACTTGCAGCTCTACTATGTATTCAAAGCACAGAACCACGTGGTCGCTAGCTCCTAGGGGACTCTCATACTTGATGTCCTCAATGTCTGAGCTGCCCAGGGTGAACACAAGGTCCAATCTTGCTGGTTCATCCTCCCCTCTCACTCTGGTAGTGTCCTTAACATGTTGGTGCATGAGGTTTTCCAGCACCACGTCCAACATCCTGGCTCTCCATGTTTCGGGACCCCCCATGTGGCTCCAGGTTTTCCCAGTCAATCTCCCTGTGGTTGAAATCCCCCATAACCAGCAACTTTGCTCTGCTGGAGTGAGCTCTTCTTGCCACCTCAGCAAGTGTGTCCACCATTGCTCTGTTGCTCTCTTCATATTCCTCTCTTGGCCTCCTGCAGTTCTGTGGTGGATTATACATCACTGCAATGACCACTTTGTGTTCCCCAGACTGAAGTGTACCTGCTATGTAGTCTCTTTCTCCCGTCTCATCTATGCCTTCCATTTTCTCGAATTTCCATCTGTTTTTTACGAGCAGAGCAACCCCACCTCCCCCCTGCCCCTTCTATCTTTCCTCATGATCTGGTATCCTGGTGGGAAGATTGCATCTGTTATTGTCTCTGTGAGTTTTGTTTCTGTAACTGCTATGATGTCTGGGGACTTCTCATTGATTCTTTCTTGTCATTCCTCATGTTTATTCGTTAATCCATCTGCAGTGTGTGTGTGTGTGTGTGTGTGTGTGTGTGTGTGTGTGTGTGTGTGTGTGTGTGTGTGTGTGTGTGTGTGTGTGTGTGTGTGTGTGTGTGTGTGTGTAATGCTAAGCCAACAAACGTGAGGTACAGGTCTGGCATCAGGGATGGCGGCCCCCGAAGTTAAAAACTTTAATAACAGCACACTCTCCACTCAGAGTGAAGCATTGAACCACACAACCTCACCCAACGCTGCTTAACTACCTGGTAACTTACTAATTAACTACCTAGTCCGGCTGTGTAACCATGTGCGGGCTTAGCTCATTGACCACTTGATTACCATTGCTAGACTAACAGACCATTAACATGTCAAACTACTTCGCTATGTGTACACATTGTAATCTCTCTCTTTCTCTCTATCTCTCTCCCTCACTCTCCCTCACTGCTTACCTCACTGATTATCTGATCATTTAATTATCTTATCACTGCCAGTGTAATTACCTGATCATTAGAACACATCGTTAACTAACCACATAATCTCACCATCCCATCTCTTTTTCCCATTCTGATCACTAAAACCCCTAACTACCCAAACAACTAACCACTCAACAATCTAACCTCCCCCTAACGGCCTACACAGATAATCACTTAACTACCCATCCAAATAATCAATCGTCAAATTATTTGCCACCTAACAAACTAATTACACTACAAAACGAGATGTTTTGAATTCATCCTCTTTGACCTGAGCTTTTTGAGACCTAAACTGATCCAACTCAACATATAAGGACAGTGAGGTTAATGGGTTCTTGCGCTTCATAATGGTGTTGTGTCTGTGAGGTTTTTACAATAGTGTTAGAAACCTTTTCTGTATATAACAAATGCTTTATAATTGTTTATTAAAAAATGGAAACAAAAGCACTAAGTAGGGTATAGAATATATTTTACAAGCAATGTTTACAAATAATGGTAACAGACGCTAACAAACAGAAAAACGTGTAAGGTCTATTTAGTCGTTCACAGAAAACGTTTACACACAAAGTTTAAAGATGTTTGCAGACACTGTTCACAGATAATTTACAGACCACGTTTACAATGACAGAGTCAACATTTACAATGTCAGAGATGTCCACAAAGTTAAAAGATGCTTTCAATGTTCACAAATAAAGTTAATAGAAAAATTGATAAAAGGATAAGGGAGGAGCAGCTGTGTTTATCCTCACCTGACACTGCTGCTGGACTGAACAAGCAGCAATCGACCACAATAAGATCCTCATCTTACTCATCCCTATAGGGTGAACTTGTGGCGACTCTACGAGAGATTTCGCCTCTACAGTGTCAGGGTGTTATTGTTCTATTTTAAGAACAAGGGCGCCATGTGCCAGCGAGTGAGTATATAAGACTGTCGAGGCTGGGAGTGCCACAGTTCCATTCCTCCCCAAAGTTACATCAACATGGCTCTCAGGTTTGTGGTAAGTAACTGGACAACAATTGCTTAATGATATTGCTGATGATGTAAATACTGCGTAAGAAAAAGATGTAATAGAAAACCTGAAGTTGGAATTTAAGTCAAAGATATATTTAAAAACCATTTGAGTAAATACTCACAAATGTTGTTTTACAGGTGTCGTTGGCCTTGGTAGCCATGATCGTTGGTGAACATGTGAATCCGTATTCCATACCATCCGAATACACTCCTCGTCCAACCTATCCCACACGACCTCCATATAAGCCACAACCCACCTATCGCCCAAAACCCACCTATCGTCCAAAGCCTACATATACTCCTAGGCCTACCTATCCCCCAAAGCCAACTTACACTCCAAAGCCTACCTATGGTCACCCAACTCCCACCTATGGTCCCCCACCAGCTTACGGACACCAGCCTGTGAAACCATCCTGTGCTGCTGCCACCACCAAGACCTGGTGTCTGGAAGACAAGGAGTACCCCAGCTACGAGCTCCAGGCAGCTGCTCACCAGCACAAGGATAAGCTTCTTACTCTCTACGCTGATGTGGCCGACCTGAACACAGCACTCTCAGTCGATGGTCTCAAGACCCATTACGATGAGACGTACCTCTGTCCCTCAGAGACCCAATATGTGAGACCACTGCGAGCCCAGAACACTGATGGTAAATGGCGCGTCATCGTCAACAACATTAAAGTAGATTACCTGACTCTCACCCAGACAACCCGCATTGAGGAGTGCCTCAACCCCGGCCACGCCTGCCCTCTGGTGCCCGTGTGCTACGAATCCAAGTGCCTGCAGAAGTCTATTTACCACCGCTTCCTCGTCTACGATCCCTATGATCAGTACTTCCCCTTCGCCATTGAGACCTTCAAGCTGCCCGCCAGCTGCGACTGTCTTCTGGGCGCCTTCAACCTCTACCACTAAGACCAACACACCACAAACCTCTCGCCATAAATAAGGAAGACTCAGATTGTACGATAATATATTTTAATCCTAATCTTTCCTGTGTATAGTCTAACAGCAGGAGTTTGTGATTCCCTGCAGCAGCATTACTGCTACTACAGGAGCCACAGTCCCTGGCATGACTTAACAAGTCACATAAAGAAAGCAGTTCTCTAGTCATCTCGTTGTGATATGATTATTATTATATGTTTATAATTATTTCTCATTTTGTTCTTAACTTAATTTTTGGAATGGAGCAAATATATTTTTAAGCATACTGTAATTATGTTTTATCATCCTACACACTATGATAATGAGGTAGAACTAGTTAATTGAATACTGAAGATGTAGAAGTTAGAAAGGGTGAATATTTCTAGCAACCTCTTTTAAAATGACAGAAATTCTGTACTGACTTGAATTTGGTCCTATGTTGAATGTTAGAACCAACTCTGTTATATACTGTACATGCATTTGATCGTTTTACAAACTAGTTTGTGCAACTGAGTGTGGCAACATTATTTCTGCAGGCAGAATGTCAACAGGTTAGTTGATTGTTATAACTTTTATGTAAGATTAGAAATCTTGAGACTGAACTGAAACAGCAGGAATACCGTGGCTTTACTGCTTCATCTGATAAATTCAGGTCACACTGTAGACTGAACCAGTGCTAAAGAGCTTCCTTCCCGCAACTCGATTGTTCAGTGTAACATTTTGGAGAGGTATATTAATAAGCATTAAGCAGAGTATATCTTGATACTGAATTCTAGCATGTATAAGCTGAATGTTTTGTTCTTCAAATTGCTGGTGTATTAGCAAGGAATGTGTCCTTAAAAAAATAGTAACACCATTTAACCATGAGCCTGTGTTTCTGAAAATCTATTAGCAGGATTTCCTATAGCTTGATTTATACCTGTAGCAAATAATGAATATGCAGAGCAATCAGCGAGTTGCCATTTCTCCAGCAAATAAGGTATGTTTTTTTTTTTCTCCACAAAAACTCTTAGTTAATCACCCTGTACGTTATGAACTGAAGATCAGTGTGGAAAATACTGTATATATTTTCCAGAAATTCAGTATTTATATGTAAATAGATGGCCATACTGTATTTAATAATATTTATGTCATAGAAAACGGAAAGCCTGCGTCTGCGCAGACGAGACACTGGCCATCTTGGTTTTGAATTGTGTACAACGTTGGTGTGATGGGAAGGAATTTTCGTGCTCTAGAGGTTGAAATTGGGCTGACACCTCTCAAATAGGAGGCGAAATTGTTGGATGTGCATTCCTGCATAATTTGAGTGTCAGGCGACTGGAGAACACAGCTCCAGGAACCTCAGATAAGTCTGTTTATGTTTAATTCTGGCCAGTAATTTCATAAATTTAGACAGTGAGGTTTTCTGGGTATAATACACATTAATCTCCAGTCAAATTGGTGAGTGATACTAAGATATATTTTCCTTCTGTTATGTAATTCTGTATTTATATATAATAATTTTTTTAATTTAATATACAGTCCACAAATTTATATATTTACCAGAATTCCTGGTGATGTATAATTCATTTAATTGATAGGTCCAGAGCAACTTGTGGATATGACAGTGGTAGGTGTCGAAGGGGGACATTTTTGCGACCTAGGTGTCCCAAATTCCTACTTGTCTAACTGATAAATAATAATTATCTATGCTCATTTATTGTTATGTACATAATTATACATACAGATAAATGCAATTTTCCACTGAAGATCAGGAAGAAGGGTAGGCTTTGGGTTACTGGCAAGTGGTGGTTTCAGTGCTGATTGTACAGATAAACTAAATTTCAACCACTTCCCCTCGGCAAAACTATTTTCAAAATTACTTTAAAGTGATTAGTAACTATTATAAATTATAATTTACATGTTACCGGCACGTAACAAGGAAACTAACTTCAGCAATTGGAAATAATTGTACAGTAGCTGTCTGTAAACAACAATTAGGTGTGTTTATTTTGGTGGTTGGTGGGGGGTGAGCAGACGATAGGCTGCGCTAGGTCCCACCTCTTTCAGCGGCGCTGCTTGCGTAAGCTTACAGCCACTGGCTTACTATCATTCTTGTGGGGGATTATAGTAGTAGTATAAGAATGAATGCAATAAAAAGCCACTGTTGATCTTGGCTACTCATCTTTCTGCTGACAGCTCAAGACCCCAGCAGCCACAGTCTGGGGGTCTCCTTCATGTCAGCTTAGTTCCCGCTGGGCTATAATAGAGCGCTTATGACCAGGGTTAACGCTCGCCCTGAAGATCTATATTCTCCAATATTGCAGGTATGTCACCTGGAAAGTCGTGTCCCAGACTTAACCTGGGTTTGGACAATCGCCCTCGTGTCACAACATTGTACGGTTAGCCTTATCAACCCCACATCAGTACCTATTAGCTGCAGCAAACTATGGTACAATATGAGCTTTGATACGACTTAACTGGTATCATATCCATATGACATACCATGTCATGACGCCGATATCGATGGTATGACTGAAGATATGATGTTAGATATCTTCACTTCTTTCGTCACTTTGGCCATATTTCACGTCACATGACTTGATCATCACTTACTTGTCCACATGTACAATTTGTGAACTATATCCGTGGATAATGTCCACAGTACAGAGAATCACTAGCGATACCTCGCTTAGCAGAGATAATATACAGTATCTTTGCTTCATTTCTCCTGAATGTTCGTTCGTACACAAGTAAGCGACACAGAATAAAATGTTTCTGCCTTGTTTACTCGCTAATGTGTCCCAATTATTCACGACAGGGAAAATTTCTTGTGCTCATGCACATAGGAAAGTTACGAATTATCTCTTCCACAGTTCTTCCTGGAGAGTGTCGAGTATGACTCAAGTATCATAAAGTACAAATGGATACAGCCACGAATGTTCTACATTTCAATGCGGTGTAGCCTCGCCGGTGACACTCATTTATTCCCTACATCGTAACGAACGGATTTATTCGTCGGGATCACAATCTGGCTTGAGGAGCCCCCTAGCAGTTGGTTTTCCGATGACAAAATGTCTACGGGGCTCAGGTGCCAGCTCTGACGACTTAATTGAATCAAAGAGCGCAGATTCCTTGACTCAAAAGGTGCGGGTTGTTGGGTATAATGCCACTAGCTATATTATGAGGTTTGAGGCATATTATTTCAAAGTTTTAATGGTCTTTGGAAATATAAATTTCTTCAGACAAACCCGTGAATATATTATGTTGCAGATTCTCCTGCAAGAGAGGAGACTGATGTGCACGTGCAAATATCATGCATCCATTTTATCTGCTCTTCATCTACATCCAATTTAGTGGGAGCCTAAATCTGAGAGTAAGGAACACACGCTGAGATATATGGATGTTCTGGTATGGATTTAATGGTGTTTCATTGCAAGACATAAGATCTTACTTCATCTCTGCTAATGGAAAGAAGGAGAGGTCAAGCCTCCATAGTCCACACCTGCACCACCACTGTGGGAACGTAAAGAGAGGAAGCCTAGCCCCATTGATGGAGAAATTTCCCCACAATTCTGAAGCAAGTACTGCATCATCTTATTTTCCCCACAATATGCCTAACAAAACTGGGATACGTCTTATATGCTCTTGCGCCTCATATACCAGAAAATGTGATAATTGCCATTTACAGTAATAAACTGCATAACAGTAAAAATAATAATAACCTTTATTTCTACAAGTACATGATACAACTGATGCACATCTAGCTGACATCACTGACATGCTCTACAGAAAGTCGCTGGTTATTCACAGCATGTCTGGCCACTTAGATTACTCTTGAACAGCAAAATGGTATACAATACCGACAGGTTGGTAGGTAAGACACATAGGCAACAGTTAGGCAACTTTATTCCGAAACGTTTCGCCTACACAGTAGGCGAAACGTTTCAGTTTCAGAAGTTCAGTTTCAGAAGTTCAGTTTCAGAAGTTCAGTTCCATAGTCAGCTCCTGACTATGGAACTGAACTTCTCCAGGCTGAGGGACTGACAACCTCAAATTCTACGAATTCAAGGGTGATGGACTGATTACATCGTCTTCTCTACTGTTCCTGCCTACTTTCTGTATTCGACTGAAGAAGCCTACTGTGTAGGCGAAACGTTTCGGAATAAAGATTACTCTTGTCCTCCAGCATGCAACCCATAACAGTCGACTAACACCCAGGTACCTACATACTACCACTCGTTCCTACTGCTATACCTGGAGTTTCATTGGCCTAGATAAAAAAAATGTAATGTTGCGAATTCAATTGTCCATTAATTGTTGTATAATCAGAGTGTTGCATTCTTCACCAAGTTAGTCATACTGTTTGTTCTACTTGCTTTATTTCTCTGGTATGTATATATACATATATATATATATATATATATATATATATATATATATATATATATATATATATATATATATATATATATATATATATATTTAAATATAAATTTAAATGAAATTCGTTGAAAAACTAAAAATGTGAAAAATATCGAAAGACCTATTACTGTTGGCCAATCTTCTGCATTTTGAAAGAACATGAAACATCCCGGTTGACTCGGATCGTTAAAACGCCTTAATTGACACTACTGAGGAACGATTTATTACTTTTGGCCAATTTAAAATAATACAAAAATTCTTTCTTAACATGCAATGTATTCGTTCAAATTTCTCGACAAATTAAGACTTAAAGAATAAAAAGTCGCAATTCCTTGGCTGGAACAATGCATAAATAACCTGCATTTAGGACGTTTCGGTCCGACTTGGACCATTAACTAGTCATGTTTCGGTCCAAGTTGTACCGATAAGTCGTCATACGTTTCAGTCTCTTAAGTGCAAGTTATTTGTGTAAATTAAAACATACCCCGTTCAAAATGAATGCCCCAAAAATTTTGGCAAAGCTCACCATCTGTGAAAATTTGAAGTCGTTCCCAGGATGTTCCAAGTCCAATTACTCCAAGTTTTTTGTTAACTATGTCAGTAAATTGCCAAATCTGCACCTACCCAAACAAAACTTCCTGGAGACTACCCTGTACATAACAACTATCATCCCTCAGACACTGAAGCTGCTCAGAAGAGAACTACATACATATTTAACGTGATTCGTGGGGGGAAATAATTCCACACACCGACGGCTGGGTACGATACACAAGTTGGAATGACTGAAGCGAATGAGAAGAGGCTTTTAAAAGCCATTGAACCCATTCCAGAAAGCTTGGAATAACCTATATAAAACTGATAACAGGACACCTGCGCACTTCAATAAATGCATGAACCCTTTTCCTGTACAAGTGAACCAGTGTTGTAAAGTTGAACCCGGTCGGATGAGTCGTTCTCAAGATGTAAACAAAAGCAAGGAGAAAGGAAAACAAGAAAATAGATACCTAATTATTTTGTTTACTCTCAGTTACTTATACATATTACGGACACATTTTTGTGAGCAGATGAATTACCTGATGACTGTGTTACCTTGAGGATATTGATAAGTGTGCTATGCTTAATAATTTATTAGTTTACTCCATTCTAGCAGCGCTATATGACCCTTGTGGGTTTAGCGCTTAGTTATGATTATAATAGTAGTGATAATAATAATAATAATAATACTCCATTCTAGAAGCTAAAAATATGTATATTAATCATTTTTGCACACATATATCGTACATAGTACACAATGAGATGACTAGAGAACTGCTTTCTTCGTTTAACTTATTGATGACTAAGTCATACAGGGGACTCTGGTTCCTGCCGCAGCAGTGTTCTTGTTGCTGCAGGAATCACTCGCTCCTCGTCTTACATCACACACAATGAAAGACTAAGGGTTACATATATTTTTTAAGGATTCTAGATAAGATTTTTTTTCCCATTGTGGCGAGAGATTTGTGATTCCTTGCCTTCTTTGCATATACTGAAGGCGCCCAGTGAGACATTTGCGGTGGTGGTCTTAGTGGTAGAGGTTGAAGGCGCCTAGAAGACAGTCGCAACTGGCGGGCAGCTTGAAGGTCTCGATGGCGAAGGGGAAGTACTGATCATAGGGATCGTAGACGAGGAAGCGGTGGTAAATGAACTTCTGCAGGCACTTAGATTCGTAGCACACGGGCACCAGAGGGCAGGCGTGGCCGGGGTTGAGGCACTCCTCAATGCGGGTTGTCTGGGTGAGAGTCAGGTAATCTACTTTAATGTTGTTGACGATGACGCGCCATTTACCATCAGTGTTCTGGGCTCGCAGAGGTCTCACATATTGGGTCTCTGAGGGACAGAGGTACGTCTCATCGTAGTGGGTCTTGAGACCATCGACGGAATGTGCTGTGTCCAGTTCGGCCACGTCAGCGTAGAGAGTAAGAAGCTTATCCTTGTGTTGGTGAGCAGCTGCCTGGAGCTCGTAGCTGGGGTACTCCTTGTCTTCCAGGCACCAGGTCTTGGTGGTGGCAGCAGCACAGGATGGTTTTACAGGCTGGTGTCCGTAAGCTGGTGGGGGACCATAGGTGGGAGTTGGGTGACCATAGGTAGGCTGTGGGGGATAGGTAGGCCTAGGAGTATAGGTAGGCTTTGGAGTGTAAGTTGGCTTTGGGGGATAGGTAGGCCTAGGAGTATAGGTAGGCTTTGGACGATAGGTAGGTTTTGGGCGATAGGTAGGCTGTGGCTTATATGGAGGTCGTGTGGGATAGGTTGGACGAGGAGTGTATTCGGATGGTATGGAATACGGATTCACATGTTCACCAACAATCATGGCTACCAAGGCCAACGACACCTGTAAAACAACATTTGTTAGTATTTACTCAAAAGGTTTTTAAATGCATTTTTAGCTTAGATATCAATATTGGTTTTCTCATATTTTTTCTTATGCTATTTTTACATTATTAGCAATAGCATTAAGCAAACGTTGCTCAGTTACTTACCACAAACCTGAGAGCCATGTTGAAGCAACTTGAGGAAGGAATGGAACTGTGGCACTCCCAGCCTCAACAGCCTTATATACTGGCTCACTGGCACATGGCGCCCTTGTTCTTAAAATAGAAGAATAACACCTTGACGCTGTAGAGGTGAAAGTTCTCGTAGAGTCGCCACAAGTTCACCCGTATAGGGATGAGTAGAATGAAGATCTTACTGTGGTCTCCTGAAGCTTCTGCAGTCCAGCAGCTCTGGCAGAAGAAGATGAAGGAAATGGCTTCATGGATAATCATTCGTATTTATTTCATAATTAAATGAAAACTTTACTATCCCAAAGCAGCAAGATATTGCCTTCCAAATGGCTAATCCAAGTAAGCTCTCTTCTGGGACAGCAGCGTAGGATACATATGATGGAATGAGTGACATTCTCTTCGACAAGTGAGATGGCAGGATGCAAATCACTTATGTCCGAATACCAAAATCTGATGTCTTGATATTGCCATCATATGAAGCTATAATGTCAGAAAGATCACATCTGAAAATGCTGACAGATTTTTAGGAATGAATCCACTATTCAATGGAACCTAGTTATTTATACTATATGCGTTTACTCCCTTGTATCTCTTGACTAATTCTTCGTTTGATCTGCCAATTCCTTTCGTTGGAGAGTTAACTCTAACTGATTAGTAAATCTGCTCACTCATGCCTCGGCCACAAAACAACTTTCGGTCTTCAAACTTAAGCAATCAGACATCATGCTGGTCGGAAAGTCTCCAGTACGTATGTTTATGTAATTACTTGGTTGTAATATTACTTGTTTGTGGGAATGTTCCATTCCCACAAACAAATATTTTATTTAAAGATTTTATTTAAAGACAAAATATATTTTTTTATTCAGTGTATTATATCTGTATCTTCTATATCGTTCTCCAATCTGTTCCACTTCTGAACAACAATCTCACTGTATGAGTTTCCTAACATTTCTACGGCTCATTTGGAAATTCACTTTCCATCGGTGTTTCCTCATTCTAGCTCCTAACGTGTTGACAAATCCATTTCTTTCTTCCTTGTCTATTGCTCTGAGTATTCTGGGTGACCCCTCTTTCTCACTTCATCTGATTATAGGTTGCAAACCTGTGCTTGTGGGTATAGACTTGGTGTAATAATAGCACACAGATTACCACCTATTAGGTACATTATTTATGGTGTCTTTACTTCCTCGACCATTTCTATTATTTTACAACAACTTTATTTGATATTCAGTAGCTAATACAGTAATAGCACTACATTAACAACCCTACAGTAATAACCCTTCAATAATAGCATTACAATAATAGAACTATGTGATGTTTTTTAAATGTTCTAGTTGAATCCTTTTTGACCTTCCTATTCACTCTTCACCTGCATTTCTCCTCACCTCTTCACCTTACACGTTTTCTGACTTCAGTTCTGTCATTCGCGATTCGGTAATTGTCCATGACGGACCCGAGAGTCGTTTAATTTAAACTTCTTCTCTAACCTGGGTTAGAGAGGAAGTTTGCTGAGAGCTTCTCGTTCTCATTCAGGTATCGAGGATTCTCCTCTCTCGTAGAAGTTTTCACATTTCCTACTGAGTTTATCTGGCAAATCTCCTGATGAATTTATCTTACTAATCTCCTGCTGGGTTTATTTTACTAATTACCTACTGAGTTTATTTTACTTATCTCCTGCTGAGTTTATCTTGCATTTCCTCGTGGTTTCCCGTGAGGTTTCCCACACCTCTCAGTTTTTGTACTTGGTGCTTCACTATGGTCAACTTTCCAACGGGACTATAATAGTAGTAGTAGTAGTGTCAGTAATAATAATCTTTATTTCTACAAGTATATGATACAACTTATACAGACCATAGCTGACATCAATGACATACTATATAAAAGCCCCTGGTTATGAAGAGAATTTCGGGCAAATAAGGTTAATATTGTCCCCAGGATGCGACCCACATCAGTACCTATTGACTACTAGGTGAACAGAGATAGCAGGTGTCTTAAGGAAACACGCTCCAGTGCTTCCACCCGTACCGGGGATCGAACCACGGACCTCAATGTTAGCTGAGTGCGCTACCACCCTTGGATCGTTTTTGTTGCTATTTCATTTTAAGATTATCCGCTCCTCTTCCCTCCTGATCCTTGTGTTGCGTTCCTTCTCTTCCCTCCTGATCCTTGTGTTGCGTTCCTTCTCTTCCCTCCTGATCCTTGTGTTGCGTTCCTTCTCTTCCCTCCTGATCCTTGTGTTGCGTTCCTTCTCTTCCCTCCTGATCCTTGTGTTGCGTTCCTTCTCTTCCCTCCTGATCCTTGTGTTGCGTTCCTTCTCTTCCCTCCTGATCCTTGTGTTGCGTTCCTTCTCTTCCCTCCTGATCCTTGTGTTGCGTTCCTTCTCTTCCCTCCTGATCCTTGTGTTGCGTTCCTTCTCTTCCCTCCTGATCCTTGTCTAGTGTCCCTCCTTGTCCCTCCTGTTCGAAATAAAGTCTTTCCAATGGTCATGGGAAAATAATCATAAAGGGCAAATCTTTCATTCCAAGGAGAGAAGCAACAACATGAACTCTTCCTCTCTCTCTCTCCCTCCAACATGTATCCACAAACACCGTGACGAGTTACCAAAGACTGTTCGAAAGTATTCAGGAAAGGCGCCTGAAGCCAGGTCTTGCCTTGACCAACCTGTAGGGGAGGGCGGTGGTCGTAATCGCTGCTCTGACGTATGTCACCAATTTCGAATGTTTTATTTTGGTTTTCACTTTCGTGGCGCAGCTTGAGGCAAGGGCAGAAAAATACCTCTTGTTATCCTGACAGTGTTTCCCGTCAACAGTGGATTACAAACTGCTTGATTTGCAATTAACTCTGACTTTAGGAATGAAAATTTAATGTTTAAAGAATAAAAAGCCGCAATTCCATGGCTGGAACAAATCGCCAGCAACACGCATTTAAGAGAGGAAATTTATGACATGATAAATGCTCCAAGGTGGAGCGAAACGTCGTCAGAGGTTTCCTCTCCCAAGTGCGTGTTGATGGTAAACTTTAATGTCTAAGTTTACCTTGAAGCGTTTTCTTCCTCGCGTCCTGCGAGGGTGAGAAAACTTTCCCTGAAAGGCGAAGCTTATTAAACTAATGTTTCTTTACGGTTAGTAAGGTTATTTATGTACAGGTACACATAAATACAGTTACATAAATTATCATATATAAGTAAATACATATGTGTAAATTACTCGGGATAACCCAAAAGAGTCAGACTTATTTCCATTGGGTTCATTGCAATATCTAATTATTTAAACCTTAAAAGTTAAAACAGCTAAGAAGCTTCAGTTAGAAGCTTTGATGGACACTGTACAAGCTGCGGCCTTGCACCACAGAGACAACAAATCGTTAATGTTAACAACAAATACAACAATTTGTATGAATTCCGCGCACAGTAGGACGTCCAGGTAAACAATGGCCACACCTTCCAGCTGACACACACACACACACACACACACACACGCACACACACGCACACACACACCAGGCCTAGTGTCTAATCGACATGTGCCTAGGACAAAATTTCCATTGATACAGATACAGATACTAATGCCGGAAAAAAAATCCCCCCCCCCAGTACCAACAATACCACCAGTCCGATGACATTCTTCTTTAAAAATATACAGGGTCTAAAGCCAGCAACAAACAACAAAATACCTTTCATCCGTGGACTGCTTGCAGAGGCAAAGTCAATGTTCGCGGGTTTCACTGAGACCCACATAAAGGATCACTTGGACAACGAAATATGGTTCCCAGGTTACAACCTATACAGATGTGACAGAGTGAACAGGCAAAAGGGGGGGGGGGTTGGCCTATACATTGCAGAGTCACTTGTTTGCACAGAACTGCTAAATGCCTCAAATGATGTAGTGGAAGTTTTAGCAGTAAAGGTCGAGAACCAAAACCTAGTCATTGTGGTAGTCTACAAGCCTCCGGATGCAACATCCCAGCAATTCCAGGAACAGCTGTTAAAAATTGACCACTGTCTGGAAAATCTTCCAGCTCCTGCACCCAACATCTTGCTCCTGGGGGATTTCAACTTAAGGCACCTAAAATGGAGGAATATAGCAAATAATATTGTTGCAGTAATAACACCAGGAGGCAGCTCTGATGAAAACTCACACACACGAGCTTTTAAATCTCTGCACAAAATTCAATTTAAACCAGCAAATAATAGAGCCTACTAGACTGGAGAATACACTAGACCTCATCTTCACTAACAATGATGATCTGATAAGAAATGTCACCATATCAAAAACAATATACTCAGATCACAACATAATTGAGGTTCAAACATGTATGCGTGGAGCCCCAGACCGACATAATGAGACTAGTCACGAGGGAGCATTCACCAAATTCAGCTTCAATAACAAAAACATAAAGTGGGACCAAGTAAACCAAGTCCTAACCGATATAAGCTGGGAAGATATACTAAGCAACACAGACCCCAACTTATGCCTAGAACAGATTAACTTGGTGGCACTCGATGTATGCACAAGGCTTATTCCTCTAAGAAAAAGTAGGAGTAGATGTAAAATAGAAAGAGACAGGCGCTCCCTTTACAGGCGACGGAAAAGAATAACAGAGCGGCTAAAAGAGGTCAATATATCTGAAATGCGTAGGGAGACACTGGTCAGAGAAATAGCAAGCATCGAACTCAAGCTAAAGGAATCTTATAGGAGTCAGGAATCGCGGGAAGAACTAAAAGCCATAAATGAAATCGAAAGAAACCCAAAGTATTTCTTCTCCTATGCCAAATCAAAGTCGAGAACAACGTCCAGTATTGGGCCCCTACTTAAACAAGATGGGTCCTACACAGATGACAGCAAGGAAATGAGTGAGCTACTCAAGTCCCAATATGACTCAGTTTTTAGCAAGCCGCTAACCAGACTGAGAGTCGAAGTTCAAAATTAATTTTTTATGAGAGCCACAAAATTTGGTTAACACAAGCCTATCCGATGTTATCCTGACGCCAAATGACTTCGAACAGGCGATAAATGAC